TCCTGCTCCACCCAGAGGCTACTCCACCTCTGCTGCTGTGACCCGTCCTGCTCCACCCAGAGGCTACTCCACCTCTGCTGCTGTGACCCGTCCTGCTCCACCCAGAGGCTACTCCACCTCTGCTGCTGTGACCCGTCCTGCTCCACCCAGAGGCTACTCCACCCAGAGGCTACTCCACCTCTGCTGCTGTGACCCGTCCTGCTCCACCCAGAGGCTACTCCACCTCTGCAGCTGTGACCCGTCCTGCTCCACCCAGAGGCTACTCCACCTCTGCTGCTGGGACCCGTCCTGCTCCACCCAGAGGCTACTCCACCTCTGCTGCTGTGACCCGTCCTGCTCCACCCAGAGGCTACTCCATCTCTGCTGCTGTGACCCGTCCTGCTCCACCCAGAGGCTACTCCACCTCTGCAGCTGTGACCCGTCCTGCTCCACCCAGAGGCTACTCCACCTCTGCTGCTGTCACCCGTCCTGCTCCACCCAGAGGCTACTCCACCTCTGCTGCTCTGACCCGTCCTGCTCCACCCAGAGGCTACTCCATCTCTGCTGCTGTGACCCGTCCTGCTCCACCCAGAGGCTACTCCATCTCTGCTGCTGTGACCCGTCCTGCTCCACCCAGAGGCTACTCCACCTCTGCAGCTGTGACCCGTCCTGCTCCACCCAGAGGCTACTCCACCTCTGCAGCTGTGACCCGTCCTGCTCCACCCAGAGGCTACTCCACCTCTGCTGCTGTGACCCGTCCTGCTCCACCCAGAGGCTACTCCACCTCTGCAGCTGTGACCCGTCCTGCTCCACCCAGAGGCTACTCCACCTCTGCAGCTGTGACCCGTCCTGCTCCACCCAGAGGCTACTCCACCTCTGCAGCTGTGACCCGTCCTGCTCCACCCAGAGGCTACTCCACCTCTGCTGCTGTGACCCGTCCTGCTCCACCCAGAGGCTACTCCACCTCTGCTGCTGTGACCCGTCCTGCTCCACCCAGAGGCTACTCCACCTCTGCTGCTGTGACCCGTCCTGTCCCACCCAGAGACTACTCCACCTCTGCAGCTGTGACCCGTCCTGCTCCACCCAGAGGCTACTCCACCTCTGCAGCTGTGACCCGTCCTGCTCCACCCAGAGGCTACTCCACCTCTGCAGCTGTGACCCGTCCTGCTCCACCCAGAGGCTACACCACCTCTGCTGCTGTGACCCGTCCTGCTCCACCCAGAGGCTACTCCACCTCTGCTGCTGTGACCCGTCCTGCTCCACCCAGAGGCTACTCCACCTCTGCTGCTGTGACCCGTCCTGCTCCACCCAGAGGCTACTCCACCTCTGCAGCGGTGACCCGTCCTGCTCCACCCAGAGGCTACTCCACCTCTGCTGCTGTGACCCGTCCTGCTCCACCCGGAGGCTACTCCACCTCTGCTGCTGTGACCCGTCCTGCTCCACCCAGAGGCTACTCCACCTCTGCAGCTGTGACCCGTCCTGCTCCACCCAGAGGCTACTCCACCTCTGCAGCTGTGACCCGTCCTGCTCCACCCAGAGGCTACTCCACCTCTGCAGCTGTGACCCGTCCTGCTCCACCCAGAGGCTACTCCACCTCTGCAGCTGTGACCCGTCCTGCTCCACCCAGAGGCTACTCCACCTCTGCAGCTGTGACCCGTCCTGCTCCACCCAGAGGCTACTCCACCTCTGCTGCTGTGACCCGTCCTGCTCCACCCAGAGGCTACTCCACCTCTGCAGCTGTGACCCGTCCTGCTCCACCCAGAGGCTACTCCACCTCTGCAGCTGTGACCCGTCCTGCTCCACCCAGAGGCTACTCCACCTCTGCAGCTGTGACCCGTCCTGCTCCACCCAGAGGCTACTCCACCTCTGCTGCTGTGACCCGTCCTGCTCCACCCAGAGGCTACTCCACCTCTGCTGCTGTGACCCGTCCTGCTCCACCCAGAGGCTACTCCACCTCTGCTGCTGTGACCCGTCCTGTCCCACCCAGAGGCTACTCCACCTCTGCAGCTGTGACCCGTCCTGCTCCACCCAGAGGCTACTCCACCTCTGCAGCTGTGACCCGTCCTGCTCCACCCAGAGGCTACTCCACCTCTGCAGCTGTGACCCTTTCTCCACTCCTGGTCTCTGATGCCTCCTTTAAAGAGAGCAGCCCTTGAGCTTTAACCTGGTCAAATCTTCCCCATATTTCCCTTTGAGGTTAATGTTTATTGAAAACTGTCGCTGGTATTTTAAATAAATAATCTAAACTAAACTAAATCTGTATTGTGGTTGAATGTACAATTCTTATAACCCCACATTGATCAGAGTAAACTTTAGGAAACAGAGCTGTGCGTCACACACTGGCAACTAAATACAATACATAAATAAAATACAATCATTTCCACAAACAAAAGATTTCTTATTCAAATAAATGTTGTAAACTTTTGACATTGTCTCTTCTGTCACTTGTGGAGGTCTATCATGGCCTTGTTACTCTCAAAACTAATCCAAACTAGACTTATTTATATTAGTATTTTGAAAAACACATTAAACTATATTATTCCCGAAAAATTCTCACATTTTAAAACTTTTATT